CGACAGGATCAACAACAGATCCAATAACAGTACCAACAACACAACCTTCAACAACTTCAGAACCAACGACTGTAACACCAACAGATCCAACGACAGGATCAACAACAGATCCAATAACAGTACCAACAACACAACCTTCAACAACTTCAGAACCAACGACTGTAACACCAACAGATCTAACGACAGTACCAGCAACAGATCCAACGACAGTACCTTCAACAACTTTAAATACAACCACTGCAACACCAACAGATCTAACAACACAACCTTCAACAACTTCACAACCAACGACTGTAACACCAACAGATCCAACGACTGTACAACCAACAGATTTAACAACAGGATCAACAACACAACCTTCAACCACTTTAGCCTCAACGACGGCATCACCAACTGATCTAACGACAGTACCAATATTACAATCAACGGCAATTGTAGCGCTAACGGCTGTACCGGCAACTGATCCAACAACACAACCTACGACAACTTTAGCGCCAGCGACGGTAGTACCAACAAATCTAACGACTGTACCAGAAGCTCCATCTACAACAACTTCAACAATAACGACTGTGACACCAACAGATCCAACGATAGTACCAACAACACAATCTACAGAAACTTTAGTGCCAATAAATATGTCTGTACACGATTTGAGAACAACACTACCTGCGACGCTTCCAACGACAATGCCACCAAGTATTGTTACAACATTACCACCAACGTTACCGGATACCCCCGCGCCAAATCCTGCTGCGACTCCTTCATGTACATGCCCACCACCACCTGGTAACTGTTGCAGCTTCCCGGGAAGGACATCACCTTGCTCACCTGGTCCAATAACTGCTGGACAAAATTGTCTTTCAAACTTTCCATGCATGCCATTTATGCCTATTCAACCACTCCCAGTTTCTAATACTTTGGCTCCTCAAAGCCAGAATTGTTTACTTCAAGCGGGTAGGATGCCAGCGCAATCTTATCTACAACCGTTACTATCATCTGCGGCACTTGCCTCAGTGCCGATTATAATGCCGTTTCAACCAAACATTATACCGCAACAAGCAATGTTACCGCTTTCCTTTGGAACTTTTCCTAGCATAATGCCCGCACAAACAAATATTTTACCGCAACAAGCAGTGTT